GGCGGGGCTGGCTAGTGCTGGCTGTGGTTGGCTGCTCAGCACCTTTCTTTTGCTGCTAATGAGGTTCTATTACCTCTCCACTGTGCTCCACCTTTTCACTCAAATATCTTCTCCTCACCCCACCCCCGTCATTCATTCATTTCAAAATATTTAATGAGTGCCTACTCAATGCCAGCTACTGTAGGTGTTGAGCTTTTAATGGGGAAGATTAGACACTTCCTGCTTTCAATGAAGACCTCATCTAGAAGAGGGGATAAGAAACAGAGGACCTTGGGGAGAAGAAGAACAGGTGTAAGCTACACCTTGCCCTCTTGGCTAGAAAATGGAAGGGAATTCTTTCTTATTTCGTCCTGGGGATGAACTCAGGGCTTTGCACACACTAAGCAAGTGATCTCCTCGCCTCAGAAACCTCAGCTTCTCACATTGCACGTGCTCACGACTCACCAAATTTCTGAGCTCAACTCTTCAACCCAGTGCCCGAGACTCTACTCCACACTTCCTCACATCCATGCTTCAGCTCCCCCCCACCCCCCACCAAGTAGCCTCAGCCTCTCCCTCAAAGATCTCAGTCCTTGCTGGGTAAACCCTGTCTCGAAACAACAAACAAACAAAAATCCAAAATAAAACAAAACAAAAAACCCAACAACTCAGTCCCCTTTACCCAAATCTGGCACCCAACCCCTTATCTATCAAATATATCAGGCTCTTCCTTAAAGAAATTCTACAGTCATCAGTTTCATTGGTGTTTCTTAGCCCCTTTTCAGCTGTTCGTAGAGGGATGGGGAAATCCTCTCACCCACAACAGTGACTTGGATGGGAGCACTTCTCACTTCCTGTCACCTGTGGAGCTCACTAGCCTTCCTGGTGTGGCCTCCAGGAGCAAGGACGTCCCTTACTCCAAAGTTTGGGATTGTTTTGTGTTCCTATTTTTACTTACGCTTTCCTGTCCAAATCCTCACATCGCGTCTGTAGTTTCAGATGGTCCACCACTGATAACTGAGAGTTCCTTGAAGAGGGCTCAGGCATGATCTGATCGCTCCTTCTCTGAAACTCTTACAGAATAGGAAGGGCTCAGGGAAGCTACTGGTCCAGCAGATTCTAAACTTTTTTTTTTTTTTTTTGGCCAAGAATTACACACATGGGCTTGAAAGATGGCTCAACTGCTAACAGAACCAGCTGCTCTTCCAGAGGACTGGGGATGGACTCAGAGCTTTGCACACACTGAGGGGCAGAGGCAGGCAGATCTTCAGTTTGAGGCCAGCTCATTCTGACCTACAGAAGGAGCTCTAGGAGAGCCAGGGCTACACAGAGAAACCCTGTCTCAAAAAATAAAAACGAAACAAAACAACAACAACAATAATAATAATAAATAGAATTGCACACTACGAATGTATTTACACACATGCACATAGCATAAGCGTGAGTCTACGATGTATGTTAGTAGTTGGAACATGGCCATGTAATCCCTAGGATTTAGGGTAGTATGGACTGAGCTCCCTGCATACTATGGCTACAAAACTGAATTGATTCTCCAGCATTGATTTTACAGCATCCCCCAACAAGTGAGTAACTATGCTTTGTTTTTAATGGCATCATCTCCCTTGCATTTTTCCCCCCTTTTCTGAGGCAGTATAGCCCTGGCTGGCATAGAACCCACTACGTGGACCAGGCTGTTCTCAATCTAGCTACCATCCTGAGATTACAGGTGTGTGACACCACACCTGGATCTCTTTTCCATTAAAAACCTCACTTCCAACTGCCTTGTTTTCACTAGATTGGTAGAGTAAGTATTTTCACATGCTCTAAAATCACATTTCAAAATTAGGGAGGGAAGTCTCTGTCATTGGGGTGGGGGGGAGGGGGGAACAATCTGTAATTTTCAGTGGCTTTGAGAGGAAAGATCAGAACAAGGGAGGGATACCGCCCAGTGGGGGTACCTCTGGTGATTATCAAGGCATCAATTTCCTGTGTTATTCACGTTCCGGGAGCTCTAAGCACTGCCTGAGTGCTGGCGCTGCCCAGGGGACTGGCGAGGACCAGAACAGCACAGCCTGTGGACCCCATGAGGTTGCCATAGATACTGATGCGCAGGGAGCGAGTGAGCTCGTTATTATTTGTATGCGTCGTCCCTCTAATTGCTGTGGGGTAGCTGGAGGTTGTGTGGGTGCTGCAGCAGTGGGGATCAAGGAGGGTTTGTGCGAGGGTGTGTTTGTGTGAGCACACAGAAGTGTCTAGAGTCTCTACACTGCCACAGTGCACACAGCAAAGTCTGTTGTACTGGGAAAATTAGTGAGGGAGGGGAGAAAGAAGCAAGGTAAAGACGTAAAGGGAAAGGAACAGAATGGACGCCTCCAACGGTGTAACTCATAAATCTCCACTTTGGTAGGATGTTCATTAACTAAAAGGCAGCGACAAGCACATAGTAGGTAGCTGATGAACATTTGTTGAAAAACAAACGGGTAGCTCTAGTTACACAGCGGTATGAGTCATTTCCAAGATTTCACCCTATATTTTCCTACGTCGTTTTCCATTTCACCTAGAGATGCACAGCGCTTTATACTGTTATCCTGAAGCATCCAGTGTGGACCCCTCACCGGTGGCGCGCTGACAAACCGTGACAGCAGTCACACAGGATGGGGCAGGTTATAGCTCTGCTTTTCCTTTGCCCCCTGGGGTGTCCCGAAGAGATCCCATCTTATACCTACTTTGTGCTTGCTGTGACCTCTCTCCTCGGTCCCCCTTACATTAATGAACATGAAGTTTCAAGTATCAGTGTCTGGAGGTCAGGAACCAAGTCGCCTTGAGCACTCAGGAAGGGCACATTGATGAAAAACTGATATGCAGCCTCCATTTCTGGAGCACAGCTAGCAGCCGATTCTACCTCACTGGTAGACAATAAAAACTGAAGACTTACTGGCATCCCCAGTTTTACAACCTCCTGACCCTACCAACCCATGCTGGGACTTGGGACCTGTTACTTTGAGGTAGGAAGTGGCCCTGTCCCCTACACTTAACTTCCTGTTGCCATGTGGAGGGTGGAGTACACTGCTCTGTCACCTCAACCCTTTCCTTGGTTCTTCTCACGCTTTCTTCTTGGACCCCACTCCCTCCTATTCTCCAGTCACCCCTTTCTGGGCAGTCTGTTTTGCTCCCTGGGTTCTGGAGTAAGGGAAGAAGGGAAGACTTCCCTGAACACTTTGCTCTTCCCACCCTCCAGGGGGAAGCTTGGGAGGCCAGAATACCTCTCAGCTGCCTCCCCTGGCAGCACCAGTCTGCTGACAGTGGAGACTGGATTCCCAGTGGGCATCCTGCTGTAATCAAGTCTGAGAGGCAGCAGTTGGCTGAGCTCCATTCTGCCCAGTTGGGAATGGCCCCCGACTTGGGGTACAGCTGCTGGGGCACATCGGAAGCTTGCCCAGCCTGTTTCTCCTCCAGAGGCTGTCACTTGACTATGTCCCATGAACTTGTAATGCTGGAGACAGAAGGGGAGGGTGGTAACTCCTGCCATTCCATAAACATAGAAGGGGTGGCCTGGAGTTGAGTATCCAGCGGTTCCGTTGGAGCACACAGTTTAGTGGGAAGACAAATGCCAAATAAGAGCTGCCAACACTGTTTCAATTAGGTATTGAGGCTCATTCTAAGTACTTGATGTGATTTAACCTAGTAAATGTCCACAGCCCTAGGAAGTAAACTGTATTTTTATTCCCATTTCTCAAATAAGGTAATGGGATGCTCAGAAATATTGCATGAATTGCCTAAGGTCAACGAGTTGTCCAGAAATCGAGCTAGGTTATACGATCCAAGAGTTCTCGATAATGTGTGCTAGCACTATCTGAAAATGTGTCATTACGAAATGTGATAAAGTGCCAGAAAAGTACAGGATGCCCCACAAGAAAACGAGTATGCTTTCATCTTCTCCTGCTTTTAGCCACCATTGCACAAAGCCTTTTTTTTTTTAAAAAAAAAAAAAGACATTCTCACTTTTATCTTTCATTACTGACCTAGGAGAGAACATTTATCTTTAAGATTGGAATGTGGGAAAGCATCACAGAGCCGGCAAGACAGCCCTGTGAAAGGCTACTCAGGTACTACATCCCCCCCATGGCGAGGAGAACCAGCTCCTCCAACTGTCATCTGACCTCCACACGTGCGCTGTGGCACCCATAGTGCCACACACATACACATACGAAATAAATAAATGGAAAGAAAGAAAAGAGAAAGAAAGAAAAGCAGACTAACATCTTGCCCCCTGGCCTGGTTTCCCTGATTAAACCCTGGTTGAAGGGTTTTTGTTTTGTTTTTCTAATGATGCCCTTGATTCTTGCACCAGTCTAGAATGTCTGCACCCTGAGGGAAGGCGGCTAGCAGCAGGCTCTGCACAGTCTGGGGACGCCTCCCGAGTGTACAGTCTCACACAAGATCTTTGACCTTGGCATTTCCTCGGTTCAGGCAGCAGGCTCGGGACCCACGTGTCGGGGCCTCTCCCCAGACCTCGGTGGTCCAGACCCTACACCACTCAATGAACACTTTCGCACACTCGTTCCTGAGCTCCTGCAGGGTCCTCCCGGGAAGAGCCCACGGGGCACGAACCTTTCAATTCGGTCGGTCCAAGTGGGTGGCCGGGAGACGGGACCCCTGGTTCCCCAGCCCCTTGGCGCAGAGGACCGGGTTCGGGCGGCTCCCGGGGCGGGGCGGGGCCGGCGGCGGAAGGCCCCGCCCCGGGGGCGGGGCGGGGGCCAGCGGGGTTGGGGGCGGGGCCGGCGGGCGGGCGCGGGGGTGTCCCTCCCTCCCTCGCTCTCTCCGGTAAAGTCTCGCGGTGCTGCCGGGCTCAGCCCCGTCTCCTCCTCTTGCTCCCTCGGCCGGGCGGCGGTGACTGTGCACCGACGTCGGCGCGGGCTGCACCGCCGCGCCCGCCCGCCCGCCAGTATGGCCACCACCGCCACCTGCACCCGCTTCACCGACGACTACCAGCTTTTCGAGGAGCTCGGCAAGTACGGCCCACCCGCCTCACGCGGCGGCCCCCCACCCTAGCCCAGGCACCCGGGCGCTATGCGGCTCCTCGCCCCGCCCCCCCCGGCCCTGCACCGGCCGCTGCAGCGCCCCCCTCGACCCGCCCCACCCCCAGCTTTTCCCGCGTGCTGCCTCGGGGCGCCTCGGCCCTGGGTCCCCTGTCCCGCAGCCCCCTCCGCGCCCTGCAGCAGCTGCCGGGCTGCTGCACCCGGCGCTGCCGCGGGAACTGCAGCCCCGGGACTGCTCCCGGGCGCCTTCCAGCCCCGCCCCTCCCGCACCCTTCAGACGCTCCCCTCCTTCGTCCCCGCCTGCCAACTGCCCCCTCCCCACCCGGCTCCCGATTCCACTCTGCACCGGGTCCCCAGTTCCCACGCACCTGGTTCTCGGGACCCTCCCCAGCCCTGCAGCTCCAGCCCCGCTGCGGTGCTCGGGTGTGGGGAGATGTTTAGTGCCGGGCCCCGCCCCCCCGCTAGTGCCGATTCCAGGATCCCAGCCTCGCTGCTGGGCAGTGCTGCGGCACCCCCGGCCCCTCCCCCCACCCCTGCAGTGGTCCCGGGAGCCGTGCGCCGCAGCCGCAGCATCCCCCTCCCCTCCGCACTGAACTGGTCGCCGCCGCCGCCGCCGCAGCCCCGGTCCCCGCCACCCCCACCCGCGGTGCGGAGCCTGGCCACTGCAGCCCCCGCTCTGCCCGCCCCCCCTAGATATTTCCAGAGCCCGAGATCGCAGCCCATTTGACGGGTCACGTAGAGGAAAATAGCATGGGCAAGGGGAGTTACTGCTGTCAGACTCAGAACTCCTCTATTACCCTGTTGTCCGCTGAGCTGGGAGTGGGTTTAAGCCAGTTTAGCGGGTCTTGGACCTCACTTTGTCCCAGGCTTAAGGGAAATTTCTCAGGAAATCATACCTTCTGTTCAATCTCCCCTTCCCCTATTCTCAGTTATTTCTGCTGAGAGAAAGAACAAGGTCTCCCAGTTCCCTTGCTCTCCCGGTTGGCTTTGCTGGGACCGCAAGGCTGTCGGTGAGAAGCAGCAGGTGTGTATTTGAAGCATCGCCCACCAGCTCCTGGTGGACAGTCTGAGGCTGGGGCTGTTGCGTTGCCCTGGAACTTGATGACATGGTGGGAGCCAGGTGGTACTCCACCCACATCTGTTTAGTGCCATGGGGTGGCGTTATCATTGTGTTAGCCGTTGGTTGTCACCACCAGTCTGGTGGTGGGAGCATCATCGCTGCCCTCATCTGAAGTCTGTCTATGTCACTTTGTTTGGCTCCGTGTTCCAGTTCTTTCCCCTTCTCCCTTCAGGGGTGCCTTCTCAGTGGTCCGAAGGTGTGTGAAGAAAACATCGACGCAGGAATATGCAGCAAAAATCATCAATACCAAGAAGTTGTCAGCCCGAGGTGAGTGTTCCCTATGCTGCCCCTCACCTTGAGGATCCTTCCAGAGATGTGACTTCTGCAGATGCCCTAGGAGTTGGGGGAGTATGTGTTTTAGCACTTGGAGATTAGTTGGAATTTTGAGGTGGGTGGATTTTGAAGCCAGACAAGGAGGTGTGAGGGAATTGGAAATGCTCAGGGAGGGAAAAAAAAAAAAAAAGGAGTAAGCGATGATGTGGATGGCTGGAGTGGTCCCCAAAGGGTTGAGGAAGTTCAGGTTCTCAGTGGTGAATCGGTGGTAGGTGGTCTGGAATGAAAAGCTCTTAATGTAGGGTACTTAGAGCCCTCTCTTGAGGGCAGTGATGGCCACTGCAGGCTTGTCCTAGGCCTTGTGCCCCCATGGTGACTTAGGATGGAATGCAGTAAATGAGCAGTTCTGATGAATCCAGTCTCCCCTGCCCACCAGGCGGCGGAACAGACTCCCAAGGGAAGGGAATCTGTAAACATCAGGGGAGGCTGCTACTGGCGAGGGCTTCTGGGGAACAAATCCTGCCAGATGAACTTGATTGCTTTTTTTGATCAAATTACGAAGTTGGTGGTGAAGCAGCAGATGTAGTCTGCCCTGAGCAGAGGGTGATGCTGCCTCCATGGTCCAGAAGCCCCAGCGGTCTGGTAGGCGCAGAGCCGCAGTGCCTCAGTGTGTGTGAAGAGCCTCGCGTGTGAGAGTCTCCTGAGTACCCAGGATTGGGAAGCCAGGGCCCGTCTTTAGCACTTTGAATGTACAGCTCTGAAGCTGGTGTTGGGTGCTCGCCAAGCTTACCTCATCTGATAGGTGTAGACCCAGCAGTGTGTGAAGTGTGAGGTGACTGGTTAATACAGAGGTCAGGTCCTGGAGAGCTTCAGGGTGCAGCGCGGGAACAAAGGTTACACGATGCAGGGAAAGGAGTTAGGGCTGGGCCGTAGGATGCCCATAAACATATGAGGAGCCAGGACAGATGCCCCAGGGAAGATGTGATCTTTGGCCAATAATGACGTGACTATCACTAGGGCAAGATAATAGATGTCCCAAGCACCCAGAAGCTCTGAAATTCCACAGAGATGACAGTGGGCTTCTGTTGTGTTGGTAGCTGTTCTGGGACCTGTTCCACGGGGCTGTCTGCCTCCTGGCCTGGGTGTCTCTCCCTGTTCCTATTACCAAGGCTTGTTTTGTTGTCTCCCACCCGGCTCCGTTTCCTGTCTCTTACTGTTCTTGTACATTGGCTGTAAAGTTGACTTGTTTATTTTCTTTCCATCGGGTACCTTGAGTCCAAGGCAGTGGTTGTCATAGAGATATGTGGGTGGTCAGATGCCCTCCTCCTGTGGGATGAGGGGGACAACAGTAGTCGGGTTCTCTGGCAGCCATGCTCTGACTAAGAATGGAAGGTGCAGGCAGGAATGAGTTGAAGATGGGTATCTCCCTGTGCCCACACAGCCTAGCCCTGCTGTATCAGAAGTGGGGCTGATATCTGGTGTCTCCAGGCGATGAGCAGTGGTTTGCTGTGCTTATTACCGGTGTCCTCTGGTCCAGGAGTCGGGGAGCTGAAAATTAGGGATCTGAAGACAGTTGGTTATGGTGACTGTGGAGCTCCCAACCTGAGGCTTTCGTTTCCTGCTGCTTCCGCACCCACCCAAACTTCCTAAGCTGTGGGGTCGCGTCCTTTTCCTCCCTTGCCTCCTCTCTACCTTATCTCATCTTTCTAAACTGGTATCTTGGTGTTCTTCTTTCCCTGCCTGAACTGGATGAGATTTAATTTCTCGGCTTTTTTTCAACTTGAGAATTCTTGAATAAGATCGTGTGTATCATCGAGCAACAGCACCCCCACTCAAGAGATGGTTATGCCAAGACTGAGGTTTTGGCTTGTGTACCAGGTTAACTTTGGGACAGAGGCTGTGGCGGCTGGTGGATGTGCTCAGATGCCAAAAAGAGGGGTCAGGAATGTAGAGGTGCCATTGCTATTTGGAGGTGGGAGAGTGGGAGGGTGTGCCCTTCTTCGAGATGGTATGCTGGTTTGTGGGTGTTGGCACAGGGGTTGGGTCAAGGTCCACACTGGGCTGGTACCCATGGGGTTCAGGAGTGAAAACCATGGCTTCCTTGTGGCCTCTCAGTTTACGCTGTATATTTTATAAAGGTGCTGTAGCTGGGGCTGGGTTTCACTTGCTGCTGTCTGTCTGTCTAGGGCTCCGCAGGTGTTGGATTTCTGTGTTTGGGAATGTCATTGCCCACTAGGGTCACCTATGTGAAGGTCTGAAGAGGCTTTGCTGTGTTAGCTGGGATTCCTTGATGACTTGCTTCCTTCCTGGTTGGGGTTTTCTTTTTTCTTTTGCAAGGGAAGAAAGGGTAAAGGGCCGCTTTTCCTTGTTGTCCATAGTGAGGCGGCCTGTGAGAGAGAGAGAGAGAGAGAGAGAGAGAGAGAGAGAGAGAGAGAATATGAGAAATTAGTCCTCTGGGGTGTCAAATCTGGATAGGAAGCTTTTGTGTGGGCTGTGCTTTCTTGCCATTGTGGCCTCTGAAGCCAGGTAGGAGGATGCTCATACAGGTGTGCGTTGAGCACTGTTTTGTTTTCTTATCTGCAGGCCTGTCCACCTAGGTACTGAAAGTCATGTAACACCGTTGTTTCTGCGTCAGTGCAGTGATAGGTAGGAAGTTGGGACTCTTATTGGAACCCGTGGTTCTAAGCTTTAGCTCTACTAGGCTGAAGGAGGCATTTAAAATAGCCTTGGATTCAGGATCTAGTGGGCCAGGTGATGGCAATGATAAATCGTTATTTTAAGATTTAAGAGCACCCCCCCCCCAAAGAGCCTGAGCCCTTATGTCTTTTTTTTATTTTTAAATCTTCATATTCCCTTCTTATCTTTATCCATATGCATACAGATTTTCACCTCGTGGAGTATAACATTTCATATCCTGCTCTCTTTGCTCATACCCAAAGCAGTTTTCCCAGATTGCTGTGGTTGAAGGGCAAATGGCCCTTTCTGATTTCTATGTAGCTTAGGGTTTATCCTTGGAGCATCATAAGAAACCTCTGCATCTGGATTATTTATCTGGATTCCAGATCCTTCGACTGAAATGGATACTGGAGTAATGCCCTTGGCCTTACGGGAGATGCTACCAGAAGCAGTGTTATGAAATCTGTTACAGCATTTGCTATATTTATTTATTTATCTGTCTGTCTGGATGTTCCATGTGAAGACATTTTCTGTTGAAACTATGAATGAGAAAAGCCCTCCTCTTCATGAGGACCTGGGAGGGGAGGGGAAACACCTTTTCTTTCTCTTTGATTTTATGTCGGCAGGCCCTAGCAGAGCACCTGATACACACTGAGCATATACATATAAAATGAATTAAGAGGGTTAGATAAGCAGTCGAGGTCGCTTTTCAGTTTTGGCTCCCGGGAGAGTCAGGTTGCTGGACCCTTGGAGCCTGGTGCTGGCTTGGGTCTCCCCTTTTTGACCCAGGGAGCCAGGCCGCTCTGGAGAAGAGAGAGAAGATGAGGATAAAGACTTGTGCTTGGGGCACACAGCAGTGTAGCTTATGATCCCTCCTTCCTCGTCTTCAGTGGCCTTAGAGGACCACTTCTGGGACTTCCTAAGTAGCAACTTTCAGCTTCAGTGCCAGTGAAGTTCACTTTTGAGTCCTGGTTCAAATGGCAGCTTCCTGGCTTCTGTCCACAGAAATGCGGCTCTAAGAGGGCTGGGGTGTCACCCCAGGGTCTGCATTTTTAACACATGCTTCAGGTACTCCATGGGCCACTTTTTAAGAAATCAGTAGAGGGCTGGGGAGATGGCCCAGCGGTTAAGAGCACTGCCTGCTTTTCCAGAAGACCCAGGTTCAGTTCCCAGCAACCACATGGCAGCTCACAACTGTCTGTAACTCCAGTTCCAGGGAATCCCAGCACCCTTACATACATACAGGCCAAACAGCAATGCACATTAAAAAAAAAATCAGTAGATCCTGGTCGAGGTGACACACACTGTTATTCCCAGTACTCTAGAGACTGAGACAGGATGATTGCCACAAGTTTAAGGCCAGCCTGGGATACACAGTAAGACCCTGTCTCAAACAAAAAAGACAGACCCACAAAACAGCAGCAGCAGCAGCAGCAGCAGCAGCAGCAGCAGCAGCAGCAGCAGCGATCATCCTTGCTGTCTCCTGGGATTCACTAGGCACACCTTAGCCCAGCCAGGCGGTGTCTCAGGTGGTCTCTGCTGTCATGCGGCCATCTGTGTGCATGAGCCAATCTGTGATTGGGGCCTCATTCGGTATCTCCTGTTTGGGGTGTCACTTTTTGTCTGAGTCTATGGCAGGCTGGGTGGCTGATGTTGTGGTATGTTGGCCACCAGAAGGGTAAAGGCTGTCCCTTTCTGGGTCCAGCTGGCCCTGGGGACTGAAATGGGATCCCCTTGAATGGTGCCAGCTGAAAGTCCCCACCCCCTTGGTGTTGGCCTGAGTAGCCTCCATGACATTTGTGTCCCTGTGGTGTCTCCAAGTAAGACTCTCCTGTTAAGGAGCTGGGGAAGTGAGGGGGCGAGAAGTCAGGGTGATGCCACAGGGGAAGGGGAGTGGCTGCTGGAAGGGACTCTGCTGCAGGGGAGCTGCGGGACTTGAGGACAGAGTTTCAGGAGGGGCTGTGAAAACAAACTTTTCACCTGAGGATAAAATAGGCTGGTTTCTAGAAACCAAAGAAATGGTACCCTGCGTATACGGGACTGATGTGACTGAACTCCTCCAACTTCTTCCCTGCCGTGCACGAGGGAACAGGGTGGAGGTCCCTCCTCTGTGCCAAGGCTTCTACTTGGCTCCTTTCATTCTGACAGTCATGATGAGAGATGTGGAACTTAGTTACACAGAACAAGGACCTGTCACCTTGTCCTACCCACTGTCCC